ATATCAGATGTGGTCTCGCACACGCAAGAGACTAACGCCAGCGGAGGGAAAGAAAGATAAGAGGGTCTTTCTTTAGAGCTCGTAGACCGCCGTTGCGTACGTATTCGTATACCCCTCGTTGAGGTTGCAAACGGGTGGGCCGCCATGAAATCTATGAACATATCGGAGATCATTGTACAGCGCACAGGTTATTGGCTGCTGCATCGATGACTCTTGCAAAATCACGCTAGGCGGCTGTGATACAATACCAAGGGCACTGTACCATCGTTGTCATTTTACAGGACCGTGCAGTACCGTAGAAAGTGATACAAACAAACAGCACTCCCTTGCATTCGCGTTCGCAACCGTTATATAGAACTGAACCCCGCCTGCTTATTCAGTACGTATTGTAACACTGTTTATCCTCAGTTATTTGTCATGTCGGATCCCATTTTCTCACGGGTACAAAATGAGTGTACAGGTTGGTTTCACTGATATTCACCTATACCTGTACAGTACACTAAGTATGCACGAAAACTTTTCATAACAATGGAAATGGCTCCGCCTTTTTACCCGCTTTAAGAGCAAGCGTATACCCACAGTACAAAACATGCCAAGAGATTTCGGCAGCCTATGCCATGAAGAATAAACTGAGGTATTTTTCCTGTATCCTGTAGCAAAAGCTCGCCAGAGCGGTGGCGACAGAGGCCCTTAGGATCATGGGCGAAGGAATTGTCACTAACCTCATGAGACCGCCGAGAGAACTTTCCTGGCTTGGTTAAATGTAGAATACGGGACTGCCCTGTTCATTTTGACAGGGGAGTAGGACAACAGCATGACTCTAGTGTCTAGACGACAAGCAATTTGACCTCATATGAGGTCAGTCATGGCCTCATATGAGGCCAGCTTTTTTTTTGCAAAAATATATAAATTAAATCGAAACTTTAAAACATTCAGTTTGGACACCATTTCTTTAACGTATACGCGCTCGGCAATAACATCTTGCAAAACATTGGGATGGCGGTTGTCAATGCACAGAGAGACTAAGAATCTAATGAACTATCAATGATGAGTTGACTTTTTAAACAGGCGTTTTGGTTTCGAAGATATCAACATAAAACGTTTTGAGGTTGGTCAAAAAAGGCTCCTTTTTGGGCATTTTAAAAATGGCTGGAGAAGACATGCAGATCTCACCAAACTCCACCCTTCCACAACGCAGAAGTCAACTGCCGTGTCGAGAGTATCTTTTTTCCATCTTGTTGAGCTAGCACAAGTCGAGAAAAATAAGTTGAAAAGTGACCTCATATGAGGTCAAATGGCCTCATATGAGGTCATTTGTCACCTAGACACTAGATCCAGGCCTGCGATCTATATCCTCCATCACGACTGGGCTAGAGATGCCGCACGTTTTAGTAAAATAGCCGTTACCACCTTCAGGTATGAATCTACGAGTCACTTCAGATTAGAGGCTTTTCAGGAGGAAATTGTAGACCAATAACAACATATATCCCCGGAGAGAATACGTGTTGTACTGTGGCAGCGTGTCCTTAGAAGAGTGCTTGAGAAGATCAGGTGCATCTGTGGTAGAAGAACAGAGAAAACCTCGGTCACGCCGCCTCAAAAGAGATACAAGGAGTCAAACTACATTTGGAAAACGTGTCCTCTAGTACAGTATGATATGGTACGCTGTTTATGGAACAAGCCCGATGAATGTCATCGAAGCCCTTGCCCTCAAGATTTCCTACTGTAGCCTTTGTGCATACAATGTATGGCACCGTGAAATTGCCTCTACAACAACGCATTAGCTACGCTATCTGGTCATCAATTGCCATTGCCATCCTCGCACGTATGCCATCTCACATCGCAGACTTAACATATCCAGTCCATGCGTGACACTTGTCCCTAGATATCCGTCGATATGAGACAGCATTCGCAACAATAGTCATTGAATAAAGCATATAATATGTACAAGCCCGGGTGTGTCTCGTCACATTCCAATGAAAAATACTGTCGGCATTTCGGAAAAAAACGCATTGTACGGTGCAAGTCAACAATTAAGTGATCCGATGCCGTTACAGGAAAGGAGAGCACTGGCGCACGAAGACACTGTTACAATCGCCGTTAAAGCGCTTTCTCGCTTCTGCTGCCTTGGGCGATACCGTTCGCAAACGTCCGGTAGGTTTACTCTAACCTGATTACAGTATCCTTCGCCAGACGTATCTGCATGAATCATATTTTCGTGCGGCACGTTGTCTCCCCATCCCACCGCCCGATCGGCCGGTGTGAATTGTATGCTTATGCAATACTCTTCATTAGCATTTAGCAAGCTTTTCCATCCGAACAGTCAGAGGACCCATCTCAGTACGCATCCTCCAGAGTGAAGTCCTGTAATCATTATTTTAGACAACGGCTTATACCGCAAGCGACTCGTGAAATGCGGGTGAGAGCTGAAGCAGAAGGAGACCCATTACGTCATTCGCACCACCAGCGTTATCGGGGAGCTACTCTCGTAGAACAGGAGCCACTAGAGCATGTTCGCAGTGCTAGTTGTTAGGAAAGAGCCACATTCACCTCTGAATTACAGCAATATGAATACCAAAGATGCAAGTCTTGACCTGAACTCATGACGGAACCCCTACGATGCCGTATCAAGCCCATTTGGTGCCGCTCCACCTGACCAGAGGTCGGCTGTAGTATTATGCTGGGTTGCGCACCATACCTTCATTCGTAAAAAACGTATCTCTCCTCCATCGGCCAGTAACTTCTGCTGTACAGTTTCCGGTATCCATTCTGCAAGTGATGATCGACTCTTTTTGGTCTATGTCTACCTCTCGAGAGGTACTCCTACATCGTCCGACACTTAGAGACCTCTATCAATCTGTCCAATTCCCAAATTTTGGCCTGTAAGAGCATCCCCACCGGTACGCAATCAAATCATCAAATAACAACACTTGGCACACTTTTTCTTTAATTTGATTGGCTCCCTAGAATTTGGTTGTTTCGTTATTTGGCTGTTTGATGCTTCGGAAAGAACTACCGCACTGGTGAGAACCAAATGAAGTACATTCCCCTCGTACTCACCATCGCATCCTTGTACTCACACTCGTACTCACCCTCGTATCGCACCCTCAGACTCAAAATACGACATTGTAACATGGTCACAGGTCGGGCGGGGCGAACGGTGCGGTGGCGGCGTGCAGTACAGCAGGGTGGATGCACCAGAAGTACTCGAAAAGTTCGCTCTTCGGGTTCTCAATACGGTCCTTCACGACGGCTTCTCGAAGTCAGCGTCAAAGAGGAGGATGTGACACGCGGCGGGGCTGAGCCAGATCTCCTGCGCGGCCCGGTCGCATTCAACGATGAACTTAACGGTACTGTTCTTATCTGGAAGCTCGCGCTGCACGACCGTGCGCATGGTGAAGCTGTAGGGCGCGGGCTAGGTGGTAGGTTCGTATTTGTATCCGTTAGACGGTTCCATACATGTTGTGCGGTTAAAGGGGACTATATATTTGCCAGTATATGAAAACAACCCAATAGCGGTAGAGAGCAGTGAACTTGGTATTTGGTAGGTTGTTGGCTTTTACTTGTTGAGGTGGGAGTTTTTAAAGTGTTCTTCTCTCTGTCTACATTAGACCTACAGCAACTTATAGTCCGCAATCCGGAGACGGAAACGAGCCTACGCAAACAACAGGCAATACCTTGAGCAATTGACATGCAATGTTTCTGTCATTTGTCAGAACGCGTCAAAGGAATAAATTGAACGTGGGGCAAACGTATCGTCCATGAAGGGAGCATCTTCTTTCGTGTCTGTCCGTCAAGGAGCGACTCGCTTCGTGCCCATCCATCAACACCCGTTTGAGACAGACACTAACATCTCCTCTTGCTCCCGTGTTCGGTAATGGCAAACACACCCATCCCGTCGCGGTGTTTTTCAAACTTGGTTCGAAGAAGCGGTTTTGTGAGTACATCGGCAGTCATATGTTCTGTCGGGCAGTACTCCACACGTAGCACACCCTTCTTGAATTGATCCAGGACGTAGTTTTTCCGTATCGCGACATGCTTAGCGTTTCGCACGCTTTGCTTACTCCACGCTATAGCCCCCTGGTTATCCTCATACACTATTGTTGCGTCGGAAGTATCAACATCAAAGGCAGCAAAGGCAGACAGTAGATTTCTGACCCATACAATATCTTTGCTGGCCTCGCAGAGTGCGATGTGTTCCGCTTCAGTGGATGAGAGAGCCACGCAGTCTTGTTTGCCTGTCTTCCAACAGATGCTTGAATCCGCCAACTGTAGCAGTGTTCCTGATGTGGACTTCCGATCCACCTTGTCCCCAGCCCAGTCAGAATCTGAGTAGCACACAAGCTTGGTTGGCTTTCCGGCGAGCCGAAGAGCAGAGCTGCTTGTTCCTTGAAGATAACGCAAGACTCTCTTTGCGCTTCTGAAGTGTCTCAAAAGAGGCTTAGCACTGTGCCTGCAGAGCAGATTGACCGCCAGCGCTATGTCCGGCCGCGTCCTTGTAGAAAGAAACAGAAGGCATCCCACAAGTTCTTGGTATAGGCGCTGGTCTTTAAATGATTCTTCGTCATCCGGATTGGTCTCTTTCCCTTCTACACAAGCCGGAGTATCAACGGGCTTCCAGTACTCCATACCAAAGCGCTTGATAATTGCCTTGGCATAGTGTTCCTGTGCAAGCCATGCACCTTCCTCATCTCTCTTGAAGTGCACGCCCAGAAAATCCGCGAGTTCTCCCAGATTCTTCATGTCTAGCTCGGAAGACAAGCGTTCCTTCGTCCTTTGCACACTAGACAAGGACTCTCCCATTATGATCACGTCGTCTACGTACAGTAGAACCCAGACACCGTCGAGACGAAAGACACAGGAATCTGCTTTAATGCCAACAAAACCGAGTTTGTCCATAACCTGGCCCCATTTCTTGAACCAGAGCAGCGGAGCCTACTTTAGACCGTAAAGGCCTTTAAGAAGTCTAAGTGCTTGCCCCTGTTCGAGCTTGACCCCACTTCCAGCAGGCGGGAGAATAAAGACGTCTTCATCAATGTCTCCGTGCAAGAAGGCTATTTTAACATCCATCTGATGGATATGATAGCCGCGCTGTACTCCTAATGTTAGAGCAACGCGTACAGTCGTGAAGTCCACGACCGGTTCGTATGGGAACTCTACAAAGCCTTGCATAAAGCCTCGCGCAACAACTCGAGCTTTGTAGCGACCGACTGCTCCGTCTTTGAGCATTTTCTTTTTGAAGATGAATCGGCTTGACAACGGCTTGACCCCCTCTAGCAGTGTGGCTACAGTCCATACCTTATGCTCCCTGAGAGATTCCATTTCTGAACGGACTGCCTTTTCCCATTCTTGAGCATCAGACATCTTGGCCGCCTCGGCTACAGTGGCTGGTTCTCCTGTAAGTTTTGAGAAGAAGGCACTGCCAGGTACCAAGAACTTCGTCTTCTCCCTATTGCGTGTCGGGTATCTCCTCTCGTGGGTATTTGAGTCGGTAGTCGGAGGAGATTGCTCGACAGGGTCAATGCCCTTGTTCCCCTCCTCCTCGAGCCCGTATGCAGACGGAACAAGCGGAACATATGTCAGGAGATCGTCGGCCTCGCTATCTTCCTCCGATTCTTTAGTATTATTCTTCAAGTTACCCTCAACGCCGTCCCAGTGTGCTGGTGTTTTGGGATTCTCGCTCTCTGACTCACTGTCCGCGTCTTGCGAGAAGTCCCCAAATCCGTACCACTTCTTGGATGGGAACCGCTGTTCGAGGATCTTTACGTGTCTCGCCACGATGGGCTGCCTGCTCTTGCCGTTCCAGACCTTGTACGTACTGTTCTCGTAGCACCCAACAAGGACCCCGTGACGACTCTTCTCGTCAAGCTTTCGGCGATTCTCTTTGGGAATGTGTGTCCATACAGTACTCCCAAAGACCCGCAGGTGATCCACCCGAGGTTTGGTTCCAGTGAGTATTTCATAACAGGTCTTCTCGTCGGACCTTGGACAAAGGAACCTGTTCCTAATGTCCGCCGCATGACCAACTGCCTCAGCCCAGAACTCCTTCGGCATCTTTGCATGGTACATCATTGATCTAGCTGACTCCATCAGAGTGCGGTTAGCCCGTTCCGCTATTCCATTCAGTTCGGGGCAGTACGCTGGATGATCCTTTCTCTCTATTCCGTGCTCTTCGAGGTAACCATCACATGCGACGTACTTTCCTCCGCCGTCGCATTCGAGCCTTTTTATGCGACAGTCATACTTTCTCTCGAACCATTTATGGAACCTTTTGAAAGCGTTTAGTACATCGCTCTTGCGAGCGATGGGAACAACCACCATGTAGCCGCTGTGCTCATCGATAAATGTAACGTAATAGTTTGAACCGCCGAGTGAAGTCCTTGACATCTTTCCGGAAAGGTCACTATGAATGATATCTCCGACCCGCTTGACACGAGTATCCTTCCTTCGGACTGAAAGTTTATGCTGCTTGCCTTGAAGGCACGGAACACAGTCCCCGGAATCCTTCTTCGGCGCATCAATGTCCAACCCAATCACCGCCTGCGCTCTAGCAAGCTGTCGGATGCTTCGGACATGAGCATGTCCAAGTCGGTTGTGCCACAGAGTCTCACCTACAGACGAAGCTGCCATCGCCTTTCCCTTGCTTCTTGTGATGGCATGAGCATCAAGCTTAAATACACCATCGGCCAGTCTCCCTTTTAGCTCGATAAATCCTTCCCGAACAGCAACGCATTTGTCGTCATGAAACTTGATGGTGTATCCCTCTTGGCACAGGGAAGCGCACGACAGTAGGCTAGCTTCGAGACCAGGAACAACTAGCACGTCATGGAACACAGTCTCGCGAAGCTCGGGGGAGCCATTTCCGTTCAGCATGGTGGACAAAACAAGCTGACCTTGTTGAGTTGCGCGCAGTGTTTCGCCGTTTCCAAGAACAATGAGCTTGGATTCTATCTCGTCGATATTCGAGAGCAGATCTGCACTCGTGTGGCATAACGGCGGTTCGCGATTAGATTTAGATCAGATCAATACGAACCACACGCGCGCACACGTGTACCCCCACGTGTACGGAGGACGCGGGACCACACGCGTACACGTGTAGGCGGCGCGTACCACCGCGCGCACAGTACGCGTCCCACACGTGTGCTGTCAGCCCCGACGGCTGACAGCATTACAGCGCGGGACGACCCGCGCTACAGTAAGTTACTACAGCATACCGGTACTGTAGTATTATGATAGACGCATTGCATACATTAAATACGAGCGCGACCGGCGGCGGGGGAGGTGGACAAGAACGGACTGGTCCACGACCTACCGCCTAGGTCGGTCTTCCAGCTTAACTAACGAGCGCGATCCGCCTTCGCGCGCGTTAACCGGGACAAAGCGGGTAGGGGACAGCTGCGTACGCGAACGAGCCTAGATCCGCCTCCGCCCGTCAGCGCTGGTACGTTACCCAGCGCTGCTCCGGGGCGTCGAGGCGTAGATCGGCCCGCGCGTACGCTCGTCCCCGACCGTCCCGCTCTACCACGCTACCAGGGCCCGCTTCCCTGTCTCGTTAGCTGTGTGTTCTCCCCGTCTTCTCGCCCCTCGTACGGGGTCTACGTCGAGCTAAGTATACACTCCTCTCCGTTGGGGGGTGTTATACTACAGTGGTCTCCCGACCTAGAAGACCCCGGAGTACGTTCTCCGAGAAGACCTCTTAGGCCCTCCGCGTCCGAACGCGTTGAGATGAGCCAGGAGTACGAGCCCTCGATCCGCTCCGAAGCGGCGGATCCGAGCCCGGACGCTGTGCGATCCCCATCCGCCCCGTCGGGCGACGGCGACGCAGGTCCTCGTGACCGCGAACCGTCGCTTGGATCCTCCGAGGAAAGAGCGGCGGCGATGTTCGAACGCATAGCCGAATACATCGAGGAAGTCCGTACTTCCCTTCGGATCGATGTATCGGACCAAGTATACACTCGATGTATGGCTGAGCTCCGCTCCCTGCGTGAAGGGAGGTTCGATAGAGTGACGCAGTCCTTAGAGAATCTCCGAGCACTTATCGACGAGTTACACTCGCGGATAGTGCTCGTCGAAGACTCGCGTCTCGTATCGCCCGGACCATCTGGGCAAGGTCGTCCCGAGGGGCCGACCCCTAC